TGACCAGAATGGTGAGAGTGACTGTGAAAGGCTCAGGGAGATTAGAGAGGGTATAAAAACAGAAAACCCAATAATCATGGGGGATTTCAACTATCCCCATATTGACTGGGTACATGTCACCTCAGGACGGGATGCAGGGATAACATTTCTTGGCACCATTAATGACTGCTTCTTAGAACAACTAGTCCTGGATCCCACAAGGAGGGAGGCAATTCTTGATTTAGTGGTAAGTAGAGCGCAGGATCTGGTCCAAGAGGTCAATATATCACTCAGTAATAGCAACCATAATATATTTAAATTTAACATCCCTATGCGAGGGGGGGGATATGAAAGGATCCCACAGCAGTAGCATTTAATATCAGAAAGGGGAACTACACAAAAATGAGGAAGCTAATTAAAGGGAAATTAAAAGGAACAGTCACAAGGGATAAATGCCTGCAAACTGCACGTAGGCTATTTTAAAATGGCATTATAGAGGCTCAACAAAGTGTATACTCCAAATAAAAAAATACAATAAGAGGACCAAAAAAAAATGCCACCAGGAGTAAACTACAATGTACAAGAAATGGTTAGCTGCAAAAAGGCATCCTTTAAAAATTGGAAGTCAAATCCTACTGAGAAAGATAGAAATGAGTATGAACTCTGGCAAGTGCTTCAGCCCTTTGACAGCTCACCTGAGCCCTTTGGCCCCCCACCAGGGGTGGCAGGGCTCAGGTGGGTTCAGGTTTTGGTCCCTGCTCCTGGGGTCATGTGGTACTTTTTGTTGCACCTCATGGTGCAATGAAGTTTGAGAACCCCTGATATAGACAAAGGGGTAAAAGTGAGATGGCAAAGTTTGCAGTTGATACTAAATTATTCAAGATAGTTAAATCCAAAGCGGACTCCAAAGAGTTACAAAGGAATCACACAAAACTGGGTGACTAGGCAACAAAATGGCAAACATAATTCAGTGTTGATAAGTGAAAAGTAATGCACATTGGAAAGCATAATCCCAAATATACAAAAAAAAGATGGGGTCTAAATTAGCTTTTACCACTCAAAAAAGTGATCTTGGAGTCCTCCTGGATAATTCTCTGAAAGCATCTACTCAATGTGCAGCTGCAATCAAAAAAGGTAACAGAATGTTGGAAATCATTAACAAAGGGATAGATAATAAGACAAAAAATATCACATCACCTCTCTATAAATCCATGGTGTGCCCACACCTAGAATACTGCATGCAGATGTGGTCATCCCATCTCAAAAAACATATGTTGGAAATGGAAAAGGTTCAGAAAAGGGCAACAAAAATGATTAGGGGGCATGGAACAGCTTCAGTGAAAGGAAAAGAAACAACTGAGGGGGAATTGTGACATATTCCCAGGATACACTCTGGACTGATGAACAGCTGTGTCCCCTCACTTCTCTAACCTACAGTGCCTTTTACACTGCTATTGTGTGAGTGCTGTAGCCAGCCACTCATGAATTACACTGCAGAGGGACACAAGGAAACTCCAGTCCCAGACTTTCCCCAGGTATGTGCGTCTTGTACTGCCCGGCACCCTTCTGGACAATACAAGCTCATAGAAAGTCTGGCATTTATTAATAGAAAATGATATGCACAAATCCTGTGATCCCAAATGGAGTTTCCCCAAACACTTCAGTGCAAACACACTGGTTTAGATAAAACAATAAAACAAGTTTATTAGCCACAAAAGGATAAACTTTAAGTGAACACAAGTAATGAGACACAAGTCAGAATTGGTTACAAGAAAAATGAAAGTAAAATGCAACTAATGCCTAACTTAACAAACTCGAATGAATTCAAAGCAAGCTCTCTCTCACCACATGTTCCAGCAGTTCTACTGGCTGAACTTACAGTCAAGATCCCTCCCCTGGTCCAACGCTGCTCCCTTTGTTCTCCAGGCATCGTGGGTACCATGGGCACAGAGAAAGGGAGGAATGAGTTGGGATATCTGCCCTTCCTTCTTATTGTCCTTTCCCTTCTCTGAGAAGCATCTCCAGCGGAGGTTCAGGAGACAAAAAGAGTGTGTAGATGGACACGCCAAGCTATTTCTTTTTAAGATGTAGAATTTTTTGGCTGCTCCCCAGACTTGGAATATTTCTTATTAACACCACGCAATGGAATGCTGTAACTTTACATGCAATGTTGCTACTCACATTTTATCAGGACAGTCATGGGTGGCAGGTCTCATAGGCAGGGGAAGGCTGTGCCTCCCCAAACAGGCTGGCACGGCCCCGCCCATGCTCCACCCCCAGGCTCCCTCCTGCCTGCTGTTCCCTTCTGTGGCAGGCTGGGGGCCACGGTGCACACCAGACCCCCAGGCAGAGGCCACGCCGCACCATGCCGCCCATCCTCCCGGTGCTGGGACCGCAGTGCCCACCCAGCGCTGCAGGGCTGGGAGTGCTCTGGTTGCGCCACCCGCCTGCCCAGCACTGGGGCTGGGGACACTCCAGCCAGGCCGCCTGCCTGGGACTGGGGGTGTATGGGAGGGCTGAGGGTGTGTGCTCCAGGCTCCAGCGAAGGAGGGGGGCAGAAGGGTGGGGCCTCGAGCAGAGGGGGAGGGGCTGGGGGCTAGCCTCCCCCAACGGCATGTTCACCCATGAGGACAATATTGACCAGTGAGTTATGAGTTTTCAAACTTTGTAGAAAGATTATTACAACAGTGTGAAAGTGATGAATACAGGGTACAGACCGCCACTGGGGTATCATAGAGGTCTATAAAATCATGAATGGTGCAGAGAAATCAAATAGGGAAGTGTTATTTATCAAATAGGGAAGAGTTATCTTTTTCCTAACACAAGAACTAGGGGTAACCCAATGAAATTAATAGGCAGCAGGTTTAAAATAAACAAAAGGAAATACTTCTTCACACAACATACACGCAACCTGTGAAACTCGTTGCCAGGCAATGTTGTGAAGGCTAAAATTATAATGGGGTTCAAGAAAGAATTACATAAGTTCATGGAGGATAAATGGCTACTGTGGCATTACATCCCCTATTCTTAATAGCAATATTGTTATGATATGATTATGGCATAACTATAATGTATTTTATGCAACATAGGTCCCGTAAGATATAATTGAAAATGTTATAATTCACTGAATATGATTATCCTATTTGTATGCATGTATCATTGTGGTATCTAAAGTTAGGACTATTGTCTATGCATCTATTACAAATGTGTTTACATCTTGGGAATGCCCACTAGACAGAATGCAATCAATCTAGATGGCTGGCTGGAAAGGGCCATTAGCAAGAATAGGTCTTAGAAGAAGCTAATCTCCCACCGGGAGCCTTCTCGAGGATGCTACAAACAGCCTCTGACTCATGGCTGCTTTGACATGACCAGGTCACCTGGTATAGGACTCCATCTTGGAATATCAGTATTTTTCCACTGACTGGCGTGGGAACAAAACTGGGAGACAAAGGGTTCCTGCCATATGCAAAAGCTATTTAAGGCAGAGGAGTGACATCATTGTGGTTCTTCACTGACTCCCTGCCCAAAGGAGATGCTTGGAAACACCTGAGAAACAAGGACTGAACTGGGGGAGAAGTGTTGGACCCAGCCTAGAGGCATTTCTGGCTGGTGAGAGAAATACCTGCAGTTTTAAGCTGCAAGCAAGTGCAGCTTGCGCTCAAGAATCTCTACAAACTGCCTAAATCAACAATTAGGGTGAGAATTTGCTAGTCATATCCCATCTCTTTAGTTTATTACGCTTAGATTGCGTTTTTGTGTATTTGCTAGGTAATCTGCTTTGATCAGTTTGCTATCCCTTATAATCACTTAAAATCTATCTTTTCCGGTTAATAAACTTATTTTGTTTTGTCTAAAACCAGGGTGTGGAAATCATAACCGGGAGCAGAAAGCTGTGTATATTCCTCTCCACATTGAAGGAGGGGATGAATTTCATGAGCTTACGCTGTTCAGTTCCCTGTGCAGTGCAAGACAGTATAATTTTGGGTTTACCTTCCAGAGGGGGGTGTTCACTTGAGTGCTGGGCAGTTCCTTAGCTTAAGCCTTCCCATTCAGAGCTGATCTCAGTGTCTGTGGGTTGCTGCAGCTGGGTGTGTCCCTACCTGTATGTGTGCTGGAGGGGACTTGGGGGCCTGTCTCAGCAGGACAGTGTAAGGGAGCCCAGGCTGGTGTGTCAGGCGGGCTCAGTGGTACCCCAGTTCCAGGTTGCACCCTGGGGGGAACCCATCACAGCTATTAGTCAAGATGGTCAGGGACACAACCCCATGCTCCAGGTATCCCTAAACTTCTGACTGCCAGAAGCTGGGACTGGACAACAGGGGCTGGATCACTCGAAATTGCCCTGTTCTGTTCATTCCCTCTGATGCATCGGGCACTGGGCTAGATGGACCATTGTGCAAATCCAATATGGCCATTCTTATGTTATGATCTTATCGACTTATCCCTTTCTTTTAGTTTCCATTACAATTTATAACTTTTATTTAAGCTGCTTAGCCAACTATATTTTACCTAGCAAGCACACATGCAATTAAAAACAACCTTATACAGCTATACCAAAAGGTCATGCTCTTAAACATATTTCCACTTGCAAGAAGTTTAGCTCTTATTTGCTAATAATTCTATGTTATCTTTTTTAGCATTACTTTTTGCAAAGCTTTCTGGGAGTTTTATCACCATGATAAATGCTTAAACTTCATATGCCAACACCTGTTATTTCGGCGGTTAAAAATAAGCAAGAAACAAAACATTTTTATGAAATGATGACAAAACCCTGGAGGCCTGGATACTGCCCAGCCTGAGTAGACAGACATGCACTAGTGTACTAAAAATAGCAGTGTGGACACTGTGGCATGGGCAGCAGCTCAGGCTAGCTGCCCAAGTATGTACCCAGGAGGTCAGGAGAGAGTGCACTTGGGTGGCTAGCTCTTCCCACCGCCCACACCGCTCTGGCCATTCTTAGTGCACTAACACGAGCAAAGCTAGCACATCGCTGTCTTCTCAAGCTGGGAGAAAGAGAGTCATTATTTCCCACCAGCAGCCCCCTTGTCTGTCACATTGGGGCATTTCCATGAGGTGCCTGGGTCGGCTGAGTAGGGCGGGCAGGGATCTTTTTGCTCAATCTGCACTTTAATGATGGACTTATCCTTGTTGGACATGGTGGCCTTCACATGGATCTTCTCATTGGTCACCTCCAGCTGGTCATCCGGGACCTCGAGCTTCACTTTCCTGTAGGACTCGCACTTGTAGGGAGGGTTGTGGCTGTACATATAGTGGTACAAGCTCTCCATGCTGTCAAAGTGCTTCCTGCCAGCAAAGAGCTCGATGGCAAACTCAGTGTTGTAGAGGAAGCGGTCGAAGGGGTTGGAGAACATGATGGCCAGGGTGAAGGCGTTGGACTCATAGCTCAGCACCCCGACACTCCCGCGGGCCGTGTAGCTTGTTTTCACAAACACGCTGCTCCCCGAAGAGCCGGGGGGGATTTGGGGCACAGGGACTATCATGGCATGGCCGCTGAAACAGTAAGTCCTGGAGGAAAACAACACAGGGTTCCTTCATTACACAACATCCCTAACAATAATTAATAACTGCGTCCCAGCAGCAGGGGAATCCTGACCCTAGGGGATGGGGTGGGTCAAAGCCCAGTCGCTCTTCTGCAGAGGGGATGCACAACAGGTAACTGGACAAGAGAGCACAGCCCCACCTCGGCCAGGGCAGAGGGGTCTTTCCTGCATGATCAAGGAACAAGGTAGTGGAGATAAGGTAAACGGGGCAGGGCTGGCCCCCACCCTCCGACCTGATCTCGGCTGGGCTCTGCCTCCCACACTGCCCTACTCCCTATCCACACAGCTGTGGCCTGCCTGGCAGGGCCGGATTAACTTTTTGTGGGCCCGGCGCCAAACATATTTGTGGGCCCCCATTGGGGAAATAGGGCATGTGATGGGGGACGGTCCGCAGAGCGAGGGGCTGGTTGGGGGCAATGAGGTGCAGCGCAGCGGGGGTGGCCCCTCTCAGCCCAGCACAAGAGCACTGTTTACAAACCCACAACTGCTAGACGCACACTGGCCCGCCCAGCCCTGCGCTGCCTGCGTGCCCCTTCCACTCAGTGCCCCCTACCCAGTGCCTTGCCCTTAGGCCAGCGCCCCCTCACCCAGAGACTTCCCCCACAGATCCCTATGCCTAGTACCCCCTGCCTAGAGACCCCTCCTGCTGACCTCCCACCACAACTGCACAGCACCCTGCACACCATACCCCCTGCCCAGCTCCCCCCCCACAGATCCCCGACTGTCCAGCACCCCCTTCACAGTCCCACCATCACAGCTGTATAGTGCCCCATATTCCTGAGCGAATTCTGCATCAAATTCTGTGCATAATATTTTAAAATTCTGAATTAATTTTTTTTTACAATAAATAAATGTGGAAGCTCCACCATGGCAGTGGGGAGCACAGGCCACTGGCTGCATGGAAGTGGGAGATCACCCTGCAGCTTCCCCCACCCCCGGGACAGGAACTTGGCAGTGAGGCACACCAGATGTGGGCAGAGAGGCTCACCCCGGCAGCAGGATCCAAGTGCAGAGGGACTTAGTGTGGGGGTATCCAGATGGGGATAAAAGGGTTCTGTGGGGGGGGGGGGGGGAGGGGGGGGGGGGGGGGTCGTTGGGGGGGGGGGCGGGGGGGGGGGGGTGGGGGCGGGGGGGGGGGGGTGTGGGGGGGGGGGACATCGGGGTGGTACAGAGGCAGGGGAGGTTGGGCTTTTCAGGGTGAGGGTTTGATGGGCCTGCTTAACAGGGGAGCCCCAGCTGCTGCCAAGGGGATCCGCATGCTGGGCCCCCATTACCCCTATCCCAGGGATCCCTTGGCCTGCGCCACTTCCTGCAGCCCCGATTGGCCTGGAGCAGTGAACCGCGGCCAGTGGGAGCCGCAATCAGCCGAACCTGCAGACGCGGCAGGTAAACAAATCGGCCCGGCCCGCCAGGGGGCTTACCCTGGCGGGCCGCGTGCCAAAGGTTGCCGATCCCTGCCCTATCCCCTTCTCTTCCCCATCCCATGCCCCTTCCCCACCACTCCATCTCCTCCCCATCCCACCCCCTTCCTTCCCCACTGCCTCTGTCCCCATGCCCTGCCTGCCCCACCACAGGCACTCACTGTTGTGCAAAATGAAGGATGGCTCCCAGCACACAGAAGGGAGCTCAACCAGCACTAGGACCCAGAAGGTGGTGTCCAGGGAGCTGAGCAGCACCTTTTTTCAGTCGGGCTGTGCAGCTCTGCATTCACAGAATAGGTATGCTCATTCCACCCCTTTCCCCAAGGCCCTGCCCATTCTGCGGCTCCGCTCTTCCCGCCCCCCACTCCTGCCAGCAAACAGCTGATCGGCAAACAGCTGATCGGTGGCAGGGAAGGGGAGGGCGGGAAAGCAGCAAGCTGTGAAAAGAGGCAGGGGAGAGGGAGCTTGGCTGCCCTACTGCAGCAGGAGCCTAATTGCCAGCAGCACAAAACTTCTGCTCCCCGCAGGAGAGAGTGGGGGGCGGAGAAGAGTGGGCCCGGTGCCAAGGCATCAGTGGCGCCATGGTAAATCTGCTACTGCTGCCTGGTGGGAGTGCCTGCTGCAGAGCCTGGGCTGAGGTGCTGGAGCCCAGCAGCTTCCTGCAGGTTCCGGGACTGGGCAAGGAGGAGCCCTCCGGCCTCGGAGATAGCAGCAGCCAGGCTGGATCTAAGGCAGGGGGAGAAGCCAGAGCTGCCCCTCTGGGGCTGCACATGACAGGGCTGGGCGAGGGGGGCTCTAGGTGGTGGGGTGTCACTTGGGGGGCTCTGGGTTTTTACTGGATGGCAGGAAGCTCTGGGCATCAGGGTGTTGACTTGGGGGGAAAGAAGGGGGAGTCTGGGTGACAGAGCTTATATTGCAGTTCTGGGTTTCCCTAGGGTGTAGGTGACTCTGGGTGGAAGGATTTTTAGTGGGGGTCACTGGCTGTCACAGTTTTTGAAGGGGGTCTCATCTGGGCTGGGTGTGTAATGATCTGACTGTAAAGGGGAAATTAATATAGTTGAGGTGGGGGCCGGTTGGTGGAGTGACCTTCCTGTCAAAATTCCCCTTGGGGGTTTGATTTTGAATTTGGTTGTTTTCTCACAGCTTTGTTGCTAATGTGGACGAACGCCAGCTGCTTTCTTTTGTTATTTGATGTTCAGACCAATGGGTTAATAAAAAATCACCTTTGTTTCAATAAATATATTGGGATACTTTGGGGCTAGTATTTAAATGACTTTGGGCTATTAATGCAGTAGAAATCTGGTAACCCTGAAAACGTTACATGGTCCTGCACATTATGTTATTAACTAAAGAGTTCAGGACATTACTCAGACACACACACACATCATACGGCTGTGTATGAGTGAGTACACGTGTACGTGTGTGTACATGTTTGTGTGACTATGTGTGGGTGTATACGTGTGAGTGTACATGACAGACACATACAGACACGTTTGTGGAGGTGGCATCAATGTGAAATAAATACACTGGACACCTTTACATTACATCACAGGCCTATCGCCATGTCACCTGCCCCCCGTCCATCTCCCTGGGACTTAGACTTTCCAACCTCCCAAGAGGCTTCCAGCAGCTGTTTCCTCTCAAATTAACTGGTCAGGGAAACATTTCCTTCTTTTCCCTGCCCACAACAAAAGTGCGATTTCCCTCCGAACACCCCCAACCCTAGTCCCGGACACATCACATAAAATGTCCTGACTTGAGCTTACAATCTTGTGCCTCTACAGGGCTAGAAACAGCAAATTCAGCCCAGAGGACAGCGAGATTTGCAGTGACCCAAAGTGACATATATCACTCACTCAATATGTAGGGGGGAGAGAGAGAGAGAGAGAGAGGAGGTATATGGAGATAGATAGATAGATAGATAGATAGATAGATTAGATGGGGTGTATGGGGACAGACAGACAGACAGATATTCAGTAGCAGACACATACCCTCTACCCTGGCACATGTGTATAGACACCAGCCGCAGGATGACTTGGGAAGCTGCGTGGAGGGGTCTGTGGGAACCTGCTTACCTGGGGTACTCAAGGGTCACGTCTCTGGTGTTGTTGGTTATCTGGATGCCCACACACCGGCCTGCATTCACCTCCAGGACCAGCCCTTCAATGTTATTCATCTCACAGCAAAGAGGCATTGTTCAGCAGCAGCTCCTGCAGAGCACCACCAGCCCTTCTCTGGGCAAAGCCGACTCACTGCCCTCCTAGGCCCCAGCCAAGCATTCAGGACCAGCACCAGCTGTGTGTGCTTCTTGCTAGCTGAGGTGCAGCGCATGTTTTGCTTGTGGGGCAGGGTCTATAAACGACAGTGTCAGGATGTGAAGATCTCTAGTCATCAGGGTTTCTGCAAAAGGAAGTCCTGTCTAACCAAGGTGGGGGAGGGTCCTCATATTGGAGAAATAGAAATCATTTTCTGGCAGTCTACTTCTCCTGTTCCTTACACTACCCGTATAGTGCAGGATGGGAGCCCGGGCATCTCTGCAGGTGGCTCAATAGCAGCTGCAGGCACAAAGCAAACCTGGTCCTGGATGGACATAGGGAATGGGATGGTGAATATGCTCATGCTATTATCAAAATCAATGGTTACACCTGGGTCCTGTGTGCAGAAAAGGACAAGAATGATGCAGGAAATGGAAAAACTCACATACAAAGAGAGTTTGGAAAGACAGGGGTAGTCCTTGCTGGAGCCGTAGGCATAACTAGCAGTGTGAACCAGAGGCTGTTAACCAGAGTAGGCCTGGCCCTGGCAGAATAGCAACACACCAGGTATTGGCTAACCAGGTAAGCATGTCCCTGACCGAGGAGTATGGTAGAGGAACACCCAGAGTTCTCAAGTAACTACGTACATAAACCCCTCCTTCCGAGATGGTACAGGAACGCACCCACCCCTCATAAGATAAGGATGGGATGACAGGACAATGGATGGGGATGTTTTGTTTGAACTCACAGGTACAAGGTGTAGGGTTGGTAACTAGCCACATCTGGAGAGGAATATGTAACTTGTTTGTATCAATGTAAAAAAGGAGAAGTCATAGGTGAGGCATCTTTGGCCAGCCCAGGGGGCAGCTACTGGTGCATTGACTCGGGCATGGGTCACTTGCAGGTTTAAACTAGTGTAAATGGTCGATTCTCTGTAACCTGAAGTCTTTAATTCATGATCTGAGGACTTCAGTAACTCAGCCAGAGGTTAAGGGTCTGGTACAGGAGTGGGTGGGTGAGATCAGAGAGGATCATGATGGTCCCCTCTGGCCTTAAAGCCTATGAGTCTATGAAACCGAATTGGTACCAGTGTTGTGGGCATACATGCGTTAAGATACCTGTAACCATGGAGCGAGAGCACTAGGACCCATAAACCTTTGCCGCCAAACCGAGCCTGTGGTCTCTCTTAACAACTCACATTGTGGTCTGCTGACTTAGCAGGCTGCTCTCTGCTTGTGCAGCTGACACCAGAGCTCCAAGAACAGCAGCACAGAGCAGCTGTAAGAGCTTATCAGCCTGGACAGCGTTGGAGCAGCAACAAGCTTTCTCAACACTTAACAGCAGGGTACCAGCGCCCTGGCTCCGCGGTTACAGGTGCACTAACACGCGTATGCCCCTGACCATGGTACCAGCTCAGTCAGGCACCAGGACACTGCTCCTTTGGCTGGCCAAAGACGCCCTTCCTATGACTCCTCTTTTTATACACTGGTACCAACAAGTTACGTGTGCCACGCCAGACGTGGCTAGTTACCAACCCTACACCTTGTACCTGCGAGTTCAAACAAAACATCCCCATCTACAGGAACCGGCTTCCAACTTTCCCCAGGGGTGCACCACCCTTGCTCAGCCCCAGGCCCCGCCCCAACTCGATCGCTTCCCCCAAGGCCCCACCCCATCCCACCTCTTCCTGCCCAGTTCCGCCTCCTTCCCCGAGCATGCCCCATCAACGCACCTTCCCCTCCCTCCGAGCACTCCTGCACACTGTGGAACAGCTGATCCACAGTGGGCGGGAGGCACTGGGAGGGAGGGAAGGAGCTGATCAGTGGGGCCGCTAGTGGGCAGGAGGTGCTGCTGGGGAGAGAGGGGAGCTTGGCTACCGGTGGGTGTTAAGCACACGCTAAATTATATAACGGAGGGTCTGCAGAAAGGTGATCAGGAGCTTCTGTTCTCCCTGATGTTTGCTTTTTTTGCAACAGCATCACACTGTTGACTCATATTTAGCTTGTGGTCAACTATTTCTGGTTGAAATCGCATCCTGTATCGCACAATGTGCAATTTGCTGGGGAAGGGGAACGCACTGCCACAGGAAGCCATTGAGGCCAAGAACTTAGCAAGACTCGAAACACGACTAGAGGAGGTGTCACCGTGTGGGTAGAGTGCAGGACCGGAACTCAGGCAGAGGCAGCATGTAACTCTTGATAGTTGGGGACCACAATGTAAAGGTTGGGGGGGAGTTAACAATCAAAACAAAGTTTCCTTTTCCAGGCCCCTCTAAAGCACTGGATCTACTTGTACTGGGAACTGGGTTCTCACAGTGCAATGTCCATTACCAGCATGAATGCATCTAAAGAAAATGCCACCAAGGAATCAATCACCATATAGTGATCTTATGTCAGCTTAAGCAGCTGCCAGCTGTATTTTTTAAAGGCACCTACAGTGCTTATTTAGGCCCATAGCTGTAGATCAGCGGTTCTCAATTGTGGCCCACACAGCTGTGTGTTAAAGGTGGGCTTGGGGTCCCAGCTGCCACCTGACCCCTCATAGCAGGGTTGGGGGCAGGGCTGTGGGCTCCCACCCAGCCCCGCACAGCAGCAGGGTCAGGGTCTGGGGGTCTCTGTGCAGCAGGGTCCAGGCTTGGGGGTCCCTGCCACCCTCACTGCACCCAGCCCTCTGCTCCTGGTGCCACTCTGTGGAGTGGTCTCTGGGCAGAGGGAGCTGGGCAGAGGGGTTTGGGGGAGGGTGGGTTAGGTGGGGGGCAATGTGGTTCTCAACCTGCAGCCCAGGTAACACTTTGTGGCTGCATATGCGACCCATAATGATATATAGATTGAGAACCATGGTTGTAGATTATTGAAAGACAAAGCATTGCTCTGGCTACTTCATTGTGCCTGACAGCTAAGATGAATTAATCATGTGCAGGGTAACCATGGCATACAGGGGGAGGGATAGCTCAGTGGTTTGAGCATTGGCCTGCTAAACCCAGGGTTGTGAGCTCAATCCTTGAGGGGACCCCTTAGGGATCTAGGGCAAAATCATCAGTACTTGGTCCTGCTAGTGAAGGTAGGGGGCTGAACTTTTGAGGTCCCTTCCAGTTCTATGGTATAGGTATATTTTTTCACACCCACTCCAAGCCAGCACCACCTTGTCCCCACTTCCCTCACAGCTCCTCCCCCACTCACTTCTCCCATCGCCTCCTGCTGCGGATTCAACGCAGTCCTGTGCATGCGTCAGAGTCAGACACCTACTGCCGAACAGTGGTCACTGTGGCTGTGGGCAAGGAAGAGACGGGACTCAGCGGGCTTCCCGCACCCTGTCTGGTGGAGCTGTGCTGCCATCCCCATCTCTTTTTCCTGCTACGAGCGTGTCAAAGCTGAATCCCCACTCTGTCACTCTGAGTGCAGAAGGTGGGGCCCACAAGGATTCTAAAACTTAATACTTGCCACTCTAGGCTTGTATTAAACTCCCAAGGTTACAGCTTCTCTCTGACCTTGGCTTGGTAAACGCTGCCACCACCCAAATGCAAAAAGACCCCTTTGAACCCAGGAAGGAGCACTTGGAAATTCCTCCCTGTGGGGTACCCTCAAGCCCTTTCAACCCCCTCCAGGGAAGAGCTGAGAAAGAAAGCAAAGGAAATTAGCTGTGGCTACCAGCTAATCAAACAACATGCACAAACCTCTTAGGACACTAAAAATCCAATCCTGTTCTTAAAAAAGGCAAATTTTATTAAAAATAAAAAGGAAAAAAATACATCTGGAACTTAGACTTTTTGTTAGATCTTAAAAGAAACAATTACAAAAATTAAGCACCCAAAACAGCTTTCTTCAGGGCTCAGCTTAAAAGTTACAAGCAAACAAAAGCATCTGGGGTTAGCAAAGAGAAGACCTAAAAGTCAAAATAAAAAAATAAACCTGATCACGTCTAGCTAAACATTCCTAATTTACTTACATATTTGGGGGGTTTCAATAAGTAATTCTAGATACGATCTGATGAATTTTCATATGTGGTTCAAGCCTTACACAGCAGTCCTGCTTATAGTATTGCTGCTCCACGTCCCCTTCTTCAGAGAACAACAGACAAAGGGAAAGTTTCTTTCCCATTTTAAAAAGTTCTAGTCTTTCCATTGGCTCTTTTGGTCAGGTGCCCTTTACCTGGGGAACTTTGTTAACCGTTTACAGGTAAAGCAAGCAGAAAACAGCCACCAAGAGGGACTTTATAGCTAACTGGCTAGCTGGGTGTTCATAAAAGGGAGCTACCCCCCTTTCATTTATTAAAGGGCACCTCCTAACGGGGCTCAGCAGAAGTGCAAAGTGCCGGTGCCTTTCCCAGGCATGTACCCCTCAGCCAGCTCAGCCTGACTCCCACCCTGCCCAGCCTCTTCCGGCTGAGGCCACACCACTGCTGGCTAGTCTCAGCCCCTGACCCGTGGCTCCGGCCGGGGCAGGAGGCGATGAGAGCTCGGTCAGGGCCATGGGGTGGGGGATGAGAGCTAGCTCTTTCCTCTGCTGGGACCACGGCAGAGCTCTTGGCCCTGGCCGGCTCCCCTCCCTCATTCCGCCCCTATCACCTGTGGCCCCACCCATGGCCCCACCCCATTCTGCATCTTCCCTCATGGCCCCGCTCCTCGCTCACTACTTCCCCCCCCTTCCATGTTGCCAACTTTCTAATGGCTGAAAACTGAACACCCTTGTCCACCCTGCCCCACCTCTTCCCCTGAGGCCCTGCCCCCCACTCACTCCTCACCCCCACCTCGCTGACTCCCAGCTCTCCCTGGACTCACCTGCTGCCTGCAGAACCAGGCTGGGAGGAGCTGATGCGGAGCCTGCCCAATCAGGGCACAGCGGGACACAGTGGGGGTAAGTCCCCAGAACGAGGGGCATGGCTGGGGAGGGGTCGGTCCGGGTGTCAAGGGGCCAGGGCTGGG